CAGATTCTTTTATTGCATCTGTGGGTTTTCCGTACTCTCACTGGGTTGAAGCTGCTGGCTTCTCCGGGGGCATTTGGTTATGTTGGTATGATCTCATTTAAGTTGATATTCTGATAAACCACTTCTAGTTCGTCCATTGTCGTATCTCACACCTTACCTCCAGATTATCTATCTTGGCCACCTTCATTTACGTTAGTCCTAACTCTACTAAGCGTAAACGGTTATGGCCTCATCTCTGCTCCATTGTTGCTGCTATTAATACCCCTTGGATCATCATAGGTGATTTCAACTCTACTTTTTCATCTTCTAATAGACGCGATTTCAATAACTCCACCCCGCCAAGTAAAGACTTTCAAGACTTCATCTATAATAATGGTCTCCGACACTCTCCGTGATATGGAGTTCCAAGGCCCAGAATTCACTTGGAACCGCAAAATCTCTTATGCTTGCCTTGATCGTGTTCTCTGTAATAACTATTAGGATGAATCTCACCCGGACTCTTCTGTCAGACACCTTTACTGTATACGCTCAGACCATCGACCACTTCTCTTTTGTGTTGGTGTTTCTCATCTGGATTGTCGGGCTGCCCAATTTAGATACTTCTTTGGTTGGTCCAAGCATGAAGACTTTGGCCGCTTTGTGAAAGAAAAATGGGTCTTCTCTGAATCTCTCTTTGATTCCATCTCTAGATTTACCACTACAGCCACTATATGGAATAAATCAGTCTTTGGATATATTGGCACAAAAAAAGGATAGTCATGGCGAGACTCAGAGGGGTGCATAAGAGCTTGAATCGTGACCACTCCCGTTTTCTTATTGACCTCGAAGTCGAACTCCTCATTGAACTTGAGAATCTCCTTGACTTGGAGGAAAATCTTTGGAAGCAACGTTCACGCTCGGATTGGATTTTGCAAGGTGACAAGAATACAAAATGTTTTCACAAGAAAGACCTCCATCATAAACAACGAAGCAAAATTATGGCTCTTAAACTTACTTCTGGGGAGTGGTGTTATGATGAGGATGAGCTTAGGAATGAAGTAGTTTGCTTTTTTCACTCGATTTATAAGAACGATGCAATCATGGATGGTAAGTTCCCTTACACAGGTTGTTTCCCTAAGATTTCAAACTCGGTGAAGATGTCTCTTGTAGGTACTCCCTCCTCTTCCGAGATACATGCAGCTCTTAATGTCATGGCTCCCTTAGAAACCCTAGGACATGATGATGATGGGTTTCATGCCAAATTTTTACAGAAACAGTGGCATGTGGTAGACAAATATGTTTGTGAAATGGTTCATAAAGTTTTTTCTATTGGTAATATTGAGCCTGCTCTCAACAAAACAGTTTTGGTTCTCATCCAGAAAATTGATGCTCCTAATACCTTCTCATACTTTCGCCCAATCAGCCTCTGTATAGTTATGTACAATCTCATTACCAAAATCATCACTCGCCGTATGAAACATATGATGCTCATTCTTATCAAACCGAATCAAACGAGCTTTATAGTTGGCCGCTCCATCTCTAATAATATAATTATCAACTAGGAGATCATTCATTCAATGCAGAATCTGAAGAGCAAGCAAGGTTGGATGGCAATTAAAATCAACCTTGAAAAAGCTTTCGATAGGCTCAGTTAGGATTTCATCCAAGAATCGCTTTCTGAAGTCATCTTCCCTTCCACTGTTATTAATACCATTATGTGCTGTATCACTTCGTCTACCATGCAGATACAGTGGAATAATGGTTACTCCTCTACCTTTAGACCTGAAAGGGGTGTCCGCCAAGGTGACCCTCTGTCACCATATTTTTTTGCCTTAGCAATGGAACGTCTCGGATGTAATATTCACCATTGTGTTGACTCCAAAACTTGGAAGGAATTCACCCTAGCTTGAAATGGCTTGGCGGTTTCCCACCTCTTCTCTGCAGACGACCTAATGTTATATGCCAAAGCGGATTTGCATCATGCACCTCTCACTGATGGAATTCTCACCCAATTCGAATATTGTTTTGGACATAGAGTTAATAAACGCAAGACTCAAAAAAATCTCTCTAAATACCAATGTTGAAATAAGGACTACTATCAGCTCTGCTTCCGGAGTCCACGAAGTTGATTCCATTGAAAAATATCTCGGTGTCTCAGTTTTCTCAGGGACAGCTCATTTAAGCAACTTCTCCATCGTCTTAGACAAAATCCATAGTAAACTCAATGGTTGGGCTACTCAAACTCTTTCCATGGCCGTCATCTATCACTTGCTAAATCCGTTCTTTCGGCAATCCCAGTTTATTTTATGCAAGTCATGAATTTTCCCAAGTGAATCCCAGTTTATTTTATTTTATTTGGGGATCCTCACCTTCAAATAACAAGCTATCCCTTGTTCGATGGAATATTGTTTGCCAACCTCTTTAGAGATAAGGACTTGGAATCATTCGGCCAAGTGAGCAAAATAAAGCTTTCTTAATGAAACTTGTATATGCTTTGCTTACCAAAAATGACGCTTATTGGGTTACCCTTCTCAAGCAAAAATATAAAATCCAAAAAGGCTTCTAGGACATCATTAAAAGACAACGATGCACTCACCTTTGGCGAGGGTGGCAAAAGTTTGGCCTGCCCTCAAATCTTGTCTTGCTTGAACAGTCGGGAATGATAACACCATCAACTTTTGGGATGATGTCTAGGTTCCACATTTAGGGCCCCTTAAAGACCATGCTTTAACTCGCAACCCTGTTGATATTGAGTTACATCCCTGCAACTTCCTCGACGTTAACGGATGATACCTATATAATCAATATCAAGCCCCTCGACCCTAATGATACCTTGGATCAGCCTGTTTGGCGTTGGAGTAGTGAGCATCATTTTGAAGTTAGATCAGCCTACTCCAAACTTCTTGAAAATGATTGGGACATTGTTGATAGCTTATGGAAACATATTTGGACCCTAAGACTCCTTCAATGTGTTGCTTATTAATTTGGCTTGCTTTTAAGGAAAAAGTAATGACAATCTACGAACGCAACAACGCATGCTTACAGACAACCCTTCCTGCCCGGCTTGTGGTGCTTACCCGGAAACGATCCTGCATGTGCTCAGAGACTGCTTGCACGCTTGTATGTTATGATATTGGTTTTCCCTCTTCACCTGGTGATTTCTACAGTTGCGACATTCACCACTGGTTGACTGCCAATCTTAACCTCGCTAATCCCTTGATATGTGGCGAGCCCTCCTGGTTAGCCTTATTCGCCTCCATTATCTGGCAATTATGGAAGCAGCAGAATGAATATGTCTTCAACGGTGTGCCACAATCTCCAAGTCTGACCCTTCATCGGAGCATTAGTTGAGCAAGGTATTACGATATTTTTGCTACAAATTTAACTCGAAGACAGAGGCCAAGTGTGGTGGATAAAATTTGAACCAAACCACCTGCTGATTGGTTTTGCTTGAATACTGATGGAGCCGTGTAGACAGCTATTGGAACATGTAGAGTATGAGGTGCTATCTGAAATTAAGATGGAGCCTGGGAAATTGGTTTTAGCAAAAATATTGGTACAAGCTCTGTCTTTCAAGCGGAGCTTTGGGTTATATACAAAGGTCTCTTACTTACTCGGAACGCTGGTTGCACTTGGCTTATCGTCCAATCTGATAGCTCCCGAGTAATGAATCTTGTGACTGAAGCAAACACCTCATGCAAATAACTCTCCCTCGTTCGTGCGATAGTAAATCTACGTAGCTCTGAATGGGAGGTGTCTTTTGAATGGATTCCAAGGTCTTGTAACAGGGTGGCTGATAGAATTTCAAATCTTGCCCCGATGGATCATTTCGAGCTGGTTCATTATGCTCTCCCCCCGATGAAAGTCGCAGACCTTCTTGCCCAAGATGCTACCATAGTGCCACCAGAGACTGGCACCCAGTTTTAGTTTTCCTATTCTAGTCCTTGTGAACTAGGCTTATTTCAATTCAAAAAAAAAAAAATTCAATACGTAAAGTTCAATGATAAAAAAAATATAATGAGTAAAATAAGAGAATAAATTTTAATTACAAAATTTATAATTTACTCTTTAATAAAATCATTTTAAAGTTTATTATGATACAATTGTAATATTTTTATAATTAAATATTTAATCATTTATATTATATTAAAATGAAATAATAAATTAACATATTAAAATGACTTGTAAGAAGCTTTCACCGCAAGTAGCATTTACCTTTTCTTATTTTCTTCCATACAATGAAAATAGCATATTGAGATAATGAAAAAAAGAAAGTCAAAATAACAAAATGAGAACAAGGAAAGAGACGTAAATGTTGAATTTAAATTTTAAATCTAATATAATTCAAATTTTAAATCTAATATAATTCAAATTTTAAAATAACAATCATGAAGTAATTAAATTAAATTTAAACATAATGAATAATAAAATAGATTTTTTTTAAAAAAGGATTGAATTCAAACAATTATATTTTTTTAAAGTATTGTTATTGATTAAGAAAAGTTTGAATAAATATTATCTTATAATCATCATATACTATTAAAATAAATAAATTTTAGATTTATTTTACTTTTATTAAAATTGGGGATTTTGAAAGAGCTGAAATCGAAATTTCAAACCAAATAAAACCAATTTATAAAATTAAGTACATGGTTTATTTATACAAATTTCAAATTTATTTTTATAAAATTTTCTCCAAAGCCTTACCGCCCAATTCTAGAAAATTTTGGCCTTTTTTTTCTCTATTACTTGGTCAGAAAACAGATTCTCCCAACCAATTTTATCATTCTAAGTCTGACCTTTCAACTAAAATCAGAAGCTTCTCTAAAAAATCTCTCGTATTAACGATGTTCAGAATTCCCGGATCTTAAGCAATCCAAAGATTAGATCCTTATAGTACCTGACATGTTCTTTTCCTCCCTTTGTTTCTATTTTCTTTTTTGTTTTCCATAAACATAAATCCCACTTATTTAGGTCAGATTTCAATCCTTTTTTATCCTAATGTTCATGAAAGATTCTTCAACTTCATCATGTGTATGGGGGTTATGTTTTTTTCTAATAGGTGAAAAGTCTATTTTCTGAATCCAAGTTTTCAAAGTTGAAATCGGAGTTCCAATGGACTCCTGAAACTGTTTTTTTTTTCCTTCATCTTGAAGAAGGAAAGAGATTGATGGTTTATATTGATGGGTACTCTATACAATTTTCTGATCAATACTCATTTTAATTTCAAGAATATGACTTGTTTTAACGTGCTTTTCTTTCGAAATTTGGTTCCTTTTGGTGGGTTTTTCTTGGTCTCCATCTCTGCCCTGTTTTTCTCTCTGTTTGAGTTCTTCAGCGAAGCTTTCTCATGGTAAATCGATTTTGAATTCACTTGTTTTCTTTAAATGGAAATTAATGTTTTTCGTTAAAATAATTGTTTCTATATTCTTCACGGTTTCAGGATTCAAAGTGATAAGATTTCCGAGCTCAAATATTCGATTCCAATTGAAACAGAGAATGTCACAGCAGAGAAAAATAAGCAAACTGAACTTGATGCTATTGAGTCAAAGGTTGAAGACAGTGAATTCATTGAAGAAAATGAATCCCCAAAGCTCATTTTCAAGTTTCAGTACCAAACCCAGACGTTTGAAGGATTCAGGAAGAAATTTGAAGAAAACGAGACTTGTAATGTCGGCCTAGACTCGTTTCCTTGTACAATTACGAACAAGTATGAGTTCAACTCAGAGAATGGGCTTTGTTGTATAATGGAGAAGCCTGAGGATTTGAGCTTCTGCGTGAAAGAATCATACGCTGATTCCAGCGATGGGTTATCGTCACAACAAAATTTGAAAGATTTATCAGATAATGAAGTTGATGAACCCCAAAACAGAAAACAAACTGTTTGCGAAAATGTTTCAGCGAAACCTGAGTTTCTTTCTGAGTAGGACTGCGCTGTTTCAGATACTAATACGGATTCCATTACTTCAAGCCCCGAAAAACCGAGTAGTTTTGAAGAAGATTTTGTGGTTGATTCTTCAAGGAACATTGAAGATCAAGATATAGAGGGAGAGCTAAGAAAATTAGAAGAGTTTGACGACCAGAATAAGGGTTCAAATGCTTTAGAAACTTCAGATTGTGAGGATTTGAATAGTTTAGAAACTTTATGGGAACATCAGGAGCTGATAGAACAGCTGAAAATGGAGCTGAAAAAGGTTAAAGCAACAGGCTTGCCAACAATCTTAGAGGAATCAGAATGTCCAAAGATAATGGATGATTTGAAGCCATGGAAGATTGATGAGAAGTTCCAATATGCAGATAGAATGACCGAGCTTCACAAATTCTACAAGAGTTACAGAGAAAGGATGAGGAAATTCGATATCTTGAATTACCAAAAGATGTACGCTATAGGTCAGTTTTATCTTTCCATTTCTTTTCTGTCATTACAAAATTTTGTGCTTAATTTGAAACCATCTCCCTGCTTATCTTTTCTTGTTAATTACGAGCAATTATTGTTCTTTGGATTATTCATGCATTCATATCTTTTTTGTATATCTCCTCGTATCATAATCAAGTGCTTAAGCTGTGTTAATTGTATAAAAATTTACATGTTAATATACTGATTTCTTAATAGTTCGTGTCTTATTTGTATTATATAATGTATCCCTTGTAATATTATATTATTATGTGCGATTGGTTTAATGCTTTACGTTCTAGTTCATATTGGCTTTTTGTTAGGAAATAAACCGAGTACGAGTAATTTTCCTATAATCAGATTAGTGAGAATGCGAAATAAAAGCGGAAAATAATACCCGAAATTGATAACGGAGTTCAGCCAATTGTGCTTACGTCTCCGGGCTGCTACAGATCTTTTACTAAGAGAAAATTTACAGGTGTTTACACAACACACTTGAGAGAGAACTAGAAGATTTTGGGATGATTTTGAAGCTAAATGAGCTAGGGTATCTATAGTTAAAACTTAGGGACTAATCTTTGTAAATACCCTAAAGTTCAATGATTCAATTTTGTAATTAACCCTATTACAAAATATTAAAAAAATAAGCAGCCCCCCACTTGATTTTGGAAGCAGTCGCCGGCTGCTTTTGGCCTTCTTTGACCAACAATCTCCCACTTGAAGATTGATTTCAATCTGTCTTCACACCTCGATCGATGCAGCAGCATTTCTAGTCTTGTTATTCTAGCATGCCAACTGAAGTTAAACACAACTTCAGTTTGTCCGTGGTCACCGTCTTTGTCAACATATCTGCCGGATTTTGAGCTACACTGATCTTTTCAAGTTTCAAAATCCCATCTTTCAGAAGAGACCGGATAAAATGATATCTCAATTGTATGTGTTTCGTCCTGGAATGAAAAGATGGATTCTTTGCTAGATGGATAGCACTTTGACTGTCGCAATACAAGACATTGTTTTTTTGTTTCTTGTCTAACTCTTCCAAGAAACTTTGGAGCCAAACCATCTCTTTGCTGGCTTTCGTAACAACGACATATTCTGCTTCAGTTGTGGAGAGAGCAACCATCTCCTAGAGTATAGACATACCCTGTAGTGCTTCTTCTGATGTCAACATTTCCAGTTAAGTCAGCATCTACATAGCATGTCAATATCGTATCTCCACCTTTGAAACAAAGTGCTTTGTTTGTGGTACCCCACAGATATCTGAGGATCCATTTGACTGCTTCCCAGTGTATCTTGCCCGGATTATTCATGTACCTGCTAACAGCTCCCATTGCATGAGCAATATCTGGTCTGGTACAAACCATGGCATACATCAGACTTCCAATTACTGAGGCATACGGCACCTTCACCATGTGTGCACGTTCTACCTCCGTCTTTGGTGATTGGTCTTTGGAGAGTCTGAAATGAACACCTAAAGGTGTACTTACTGGTTTAGCATCTTGCATGTTGAACCTGGAGAGTACTTTGTTGATGTACTCAGCCTGTGATAACATCAAAGTCCCGACTTTGTGTGTCTTTTGATCCTCATCTCAAGAATCTGCTTTACAGCGCCTAGATCCTTCATAGCAAACTGATTCGACAATTTTTGCTTCAAATTTATAATCTCTTGCATATCTGAGCCTACAACGAGCATGTCATCAACGTACAATAATAAAATAATGAAGTTGTTGTCGAGCCTCTTGATGTAGCAACAATGATCTGCTTGGCATCTGGTAAAACCACTGCTACTCATGAAACTATCAAACTTCTTGTACCACTGTCTAGGAGCTTGTTTTAAACCATACAAGCTCTTCTTCAACTTGCATACCAGGTTTTTCTTGTTTGCCTCTATGAAGCCTTCTGGTTGCCTCATATAGATTTCTTCATCCAAATCACCATAAAGGAAAGCTGTCTTTACATCTAACTGCTCAAGATGTAAATTCTCTACAGCTACAATTTTTAACACCAGTTTGATTGTAGACAGTTTTACGACTGGAGAGAAAATTTCATTGTAGTCAATACCTTCTTTTTGATGAAAACCTTTGACTACCAATCTTGCTTTGTAGCATTTGCTCACATCGTGCTCTTCTTTGATCTTGTAAATCCACTTGTTATGGAGCGCTCACTTGCCTGGTGGTAATTCAGCTACTTCCCACGTCTGATTTGACATAAGCGAGTCCATCTCATCTTTCATTGAAGACTCCCACTTGACTGAATCCTCCACCTGCATTGCTTCATCATAGCACTTTGGTTCACCATTGTCAGTCAGCAACAAGTAGTGCAAAGAAGGCGAATACCGTTGGGTTGGTTTAGGAATTCTGGAGGAGCGTCTCAGTTCTGGTGTGTCTGGTTCTTCCTCTTGAACTGCTTCAGGACTGATCTGAACATCATTTCCAGAAATCTCCTCGAACTCAGCAAATTCCTTTGTTTCAGCTTCGGTATTACTTGATTCTGCGGTTAACCTGTCTTTGTACATCACATTTTCATTGAAAATGACATCTTTGCTTCTGATGATCTTTCGATTTTCGTAGTCCTAAAACCGGTAACCGAACTCATCACCACCGTAACCAACAAAGACGCATTTGTTGGACTTGGGATCAAGTTTACTTCTTTCAGCAGAGTTTATGTGTACATAAGAAATACAACCAAACACTCTTAAGTGTGAAAGGTTTATTTCTTTCTTGCTCCAAGCTTCCTCTGGTATTCCGCCATCCAAAGGAACTGAGGGTTCACGGTTGATCAGGTAAGCTGCAGTGTTGATAGCTTCAGCCCATAGAAATTTAGGCAATCTGGCATGTATCCTCATGCTTCTGGCACGTTCATTCAGAGTTCTGTTCATGTGCTCTACTACGCCATTCTGCTGCGGTGTTATGGGAACTGTTGTCTCCATCTTGATCCCATTGTTTACGCAGAAATCTCTGAATCTACTGTCTCTATACTCTCTTCCATTGTCAGACCTCAACCGCTTGACTTTCAAACCAGTCTCATTTTCCACCATGGCCTTCCATTTTCTGAAGGTATCAAAGACTTCTGATTTCTTCTTCAGAAAATAAACTCACACCTTCCTTGTTGAATCATCGATGTAGGTGACATAATATAGTGAGCCTGCAAGAGATGGAACTGGGGATGGTCCCCATACATTAGTATGAACCAACTCTAACCTTTCTGCCTTGGGTGTCTTGCCAATCTTTGCAAAACTGACTTTCTTTTGTTTGCCAAAGATACAATCCTCGCATAGTCCGACATCTACATTCTTTAGATCCGGTAGCTTCCCTTTTGATAGAAGTATATTTATTCCTTTCTCGCTCATATGGCCAAGCCTTTAGTGCCATAGGTTTGATTTTCCATCAGCATCTGCTACTGCAATGATATTCTCTAAATTTGAGGTTACATAGAGAGTACCAGTCTTCTTACCACGAGCAATGACGAGTGCTCCTTTGGTAATCTTCCATTCACAGCCTGAAAAGGTTGTGCTATATCCTTCTCCATCAAGTTGTCCAACAGAGATCAAATTTCTTTTGAGGCCAGGAATATGTCTCACTCCTGTCAGCTTCCAGGTGGTCTGGTTTGGCAGCTTTAGTCGGATGTCTCCTTTTCCGACGATCTTTAATGTTTCATCATCAGCAAGATGAACCTTCCCAAAATAACCACTGACATAGTTCTCCATGATTTCTTGGCATGGGGTGGAGTGGAAAGATTCCCCTGAATCCAAGATCCATGATTCAATCGGACTGTTGACGCTTAGAATCATGGCATCACATGTCTCCTCTGTCACGTTAGTAGATTCCTGTGCACCAGTATTTTTCTTCGGTGCTCGGCAATCTCTTTTGAAGTGACCCTTCTTGCCGCAATTATAACAGGTAAAATCTTTATTTACTGTTCTTGATTTTCCCCGTCTGGATTTGGATCTGCCACAATTTGAATTTCTTTCTGAAGTTCTCCCTCTAGACTCCGTGTGCAAGGCTGAGGAGGTTGATGCTTCACCCGATTCTCTCCGTCGAATTTCTTCGCTCAGTACCAGATCCCGAACATCGTCGAATTTTAATTTACTGTTTCCCGACGAACTGCTAACTGTTGTAACAGTAGCATTCCAACTGTCTGGTAGAGATGATAAGAGAATTAAAGCTCGAACTTCATCATCAAATTCAATTTCCACTGAACTCAACTGGGTTGTGATTGTGTTGAGTTCATTTAGGTGTTGTGCCACCGATGCCCCTTCCGTCATCCGCAAATTGAATAATCGCCTCATCAAATGAACTTTGTTTGAGGCTGATGGCTTCTCATACATACTGGAGAGAGCCGCCATAAGACCCGCCGTGGTCTTTTCCTTCGCTATGTTGAAAGCAATATTGCGGGATAACGTCAGTCGGATAACTCCGAGGGCTTGTCTGTCGAGAAGAGCCCAGTCTTCATTCTTCATGCCCTCTGGTTGCTTTCCCGAAAGAGGTTGATATAGATTTTTCTGGTACAGAAAATCTTCAATCTGCATCTTCCAAAAGCCAAAGTCCGCACCATCAAACTTTTCAATTTTCACATTCCCTTCGTCTGCAGCCATCGCTCCCACTCGAATTTGGCTTCGTTTGGATCGTTTCTGACAATTTCTACGAACCGCCGTGTATTAGAACACCTCCGTCGACAAACTCGTATCGCCAACCGAATTTCACTATTCACGAAATTCATTATTCACGTGAATAGTAATGAATAGTAACCTCGCAGAAAATTGATAAAATTCACAACCAAAAGCTCTGATACCAGTTGTTAGGAAATAAACCGAGTACGAGTAATTTCCCTATAACCAGATTAGTGAGAATGCGAAATAAAAGCGGAAAAATAATACCCGAAATTGATAACGGAGTTCAGCCAATTGTGCTTACGTCTCCGGGCTGCTGCAGATCTTTTACTAAGAGAAAATTTACAGGTGTTTACACAACACACTTGAGAGAGAACTAGAAGATTTTGGGATGATTTTGAAGCTAAATGAGCTAGGGTATTTATAGTTGAAACTTAGGGACTAATCTTTGTAAATACCCTAAAGTTCAATGATTCAATTTTGTAATTAACCCTATTACAAAATATTAAAAAAATAAGCAGCCCCCCACTTGATTTTGAAAGCAGCCGCCGGCTGCTTTTGGCCTTCTTTGACCAACACTTTTTGAGTTCTATGTCACTTTTCGGGTGCGAAAGGAGAGTTTTTTCTCCAAAAACGAGTTCAAGTGTTCACAAGTGCATGATTTATTTTTAATTTGGAATAAAGGTAAGTGTAATATATGTATGTATTTGAATATTTGATATAAATATATTTAACTTTGTGAAAAAAAATATAGGAATAGTACCAAAATTAGCCCCATCATTTATTAGAATAATCAGTTTTTATCATTATTTTTTGGAGCATTTTGTCTCCTAAAATCTTATTTTAGAACAAAAACATCACCAATGTTTGGTAAGATAGTCACTTTAATCCTTATTATTTTATCATGGAGTATTTTGACCCTTCAATGTTTTATTCTAGGGTAAAAAACTCATACTTTGAAGCGTTAATAGTTTGTTAACAATAATTTCCATCAATGGATGCCTTTTTGCTTTAAAATAAAACGTTGGGACCAAAATGCTACAAAAAGTAGTGGCCAAAATGACAACTTTAGTAAACGTTGGGGGCTATTTTTGATTATGCCAAAAATATATTCAAAAGTTTGTATCTCGTATCATTATCTCATCCAAATAATTTATGGAAAAAGAACATAAACTAATAAGATAACCATGCATGTTTTTGGATTTAGCCTAGTTCCAACATCTCATTCAAGACAACTATGTGAAAGATTTACCTAACTCTATGCTCCACAAAATCTTTTTCAAAGCACTTTAACAATGGTAGAACAAATCATGTCAAAAAATAATGGTAGAACAAAAAAGACAACTTGGAAAGCTATTTTTCATGAATACCACTTTGAACTTTGTATATATCCAATTAATAAATTGCTTTTTCGGGTTATGATTAATGATAGGTGGTCAATTACATCCGTTTTAGGATTTTTTGGGTTAAATTATAGTTTAAGTTTCATGTAAAGTTACCCTATCTCATGTTTGTTGACAATTAATTCACATGGTTTCTTCATTCAAAGGATCCATTTCAATCAATTTCAAGCCACAAATCATCTTCAGCCCCAGCAATTTCATCCCTTCTCCCTCAAAACCTCCGGCTAGGTAGGCGAAAAGCTTTGGATTCCGACCCCATGTCAAAGTTCATCAACGAGCTTCACGGTGATTTGGAAATGGTGTATGGAGGCCAAATGGTGGTATACGACATCAACTAAATTCGGGTTAAACCGAAGAACTGTGTATATCTTGAGAAAGTGATAATATGCCTAGTTTGTTGGTTTGATGAATATCTCCCAATTTATTTTCAACTTGGTGGATCTGATTTTTTTAATCCATGCTCATGAATTTTTAATCAAGCAGCTTTGAAATTTTGGGAAAAATTAGCTAATGCAAGGTCTGATATTGGTGTAGAGGACAGCTTGAAGGATACAAGGAAAGGTAGAAGAAAAGGAAGAGATGATGATGATGATGATGACGATGGTGTAATTACAGCTGATATGCTATTGGAGATGATGGAGGTCTCGATACGAATATTTTGGCAATTCATTCGAGCCGATAAAGATGCAAACCATGCGATCCGTAAGATCAGGAACGGAGCTCAAGTGGAACCTCTAGAGCCAGATGAGCTTCAACTTTTGGCAACACTTCAAACAAGTTTACAAAGGGTTAGTCCTCCAAAACCTTGGTTCAAATCAGATGACAATGGCTTCATATGGTTGTTCATATGTTCATTGAGCGAAACTCGAATAACTTCTGAAAACGAATGTCCCGTTTACTCATGAACATGTTTGATGATGAAATTGCAGAAGGATAAGAAGCTTAGAGAGGCTTTAAGAAGTGGGAAATGCATGTTAAGGAGATTGAAGAAGAATGAAGTGGATAATTCAGTTCAAGTCCTTTACTTCTTCTCTCAAGTGGATTTGAAATTAGTAGAAAGAGTTTTGAACATGTCTAAACTGGCCAAAGACCAACTTTTGTGGTGCCATGGCAAAGTAAGCAATATTAATTTTTTTAATAGGAACATTAATGTTGAACCTTCTTTTTTGCTCTTCCCCTGCTAATAATATACTATATATTTCCATGAATCTCTAGCAATATCCCAACCTTTAAATTACAATTAAAATTTAATTTTATACTTAAACTTGCACCAAACTGATTTCATGATTCATTTTATTATTTTAAAGCTAATTGTCGCAACCATCTTTCCGGTGGGCCCGGATTTGAGCTTTGACTTAAATAAAACATGTTAGAGCCACCACCGATCATTTTTAAAAAAAAATTAGGTTGATCAGACACTTTAATTTATCATCTTACATGATCTTCGTTTTACTAGAAATAAGTCAGACTCGGGAGTCAGTTACAGTTAAGGAAGGGTTAGCACCCTCGTACTGCCCTTTCGGTACCATTTTAATTTCTCGGTTGTCTTAATTACGAAAATTAAAATTTAAATTAAATTTAAATTTAAAAATTCGATTCGAATTGCTTATCTTTGATCGATTGATATTACCCCTAAAAAATGCTAAAAAGATGTTAGATTGTAAAATAAAATAAATAAATAAATATTAAATAAAAAGAGAAAAAAAGATTTTTAAAAAATAAAATCAAGTTAAAAGAAATAATAATAGAGAGAAAAAATAAAGAAAATTTAAATTTTAAAGGAAATAAATAAATAGATAAAAAATTAAAAAAGTGACAACAATGTTAATTTAAAAAAAACGAATAAAAACAGAAATGTTAAATTTTGGAAGTAAATAAAAAAAACAAAGTAAAAAATGTATAAAAAACTTAAAGGACTAAATTTGAATAAATTGAAATTCATGGATAAAATTGATGCTAAAAAATGAGCTACAAGAAAAAATAAAGAGTTGGAGGGGTTAAATTGCAAAAAATATAAATTATAAATAGGGTCTAAATCAAATTAATTGAAGATTCAAAGGCAAAATTACAATAGGTGACCAAAATGAATTATGCATCAGAATTATAAGCATGCAGAAATAATTTAAATTTTCATAATTACACTTTGATCCTTCCTATAAATACCCCTTAAAACCTAAAACAATTTCATTTCCCTCCTATTTCACAAAACATTCTCCCCTCTCTAAAAATATTCTCTCAACTTTCTCCCTACACTGGCCTATGGTTGGTCACATCCTCACCGCCCGGGCCAACGCTGACCGTCACTCCGGCCACCACCACCAGTGGCCAAAAAATTACAAACACACCCAAAGCTTCCTGTCAACGTCCTAAACCAAAAATCAAAGCCCAAACACCCAAAAAATAACCCCACCTGCGTAGATCTAGTAACGAAAGTCTCGGGTTTACCTTTTTCCGACGAGCTTCTACGATTTCCAGCAACCTTTGGCTTTTCGCAACCGTGATTTCCTCTGTGCAGTCCCAAAATCGAATCTTTGATTTTTTTTGTGACTTTCCTCGCTATTTCGAATGCTTTTTCTGCTTCGTTTTTGTTGTTTCGATTGCTTGTTTTTGCTTTGTTTGCTTGGTTACTTTGGTTGTTGTGGTTGTTTGGTATTCGGTGTTTCTGGTGATCTTGGTTCGTACATTGATTTTTCAGTTATGCTTTCTCGGTGTTCTTTGATCTCTCCCCGAAGAGGCTTTTATTGCCTTCAATCGTCCGTTTGGGTTCCGATGATCTTGAGGTCATCCCCGATCTTTTTGGGATTTTTTCCCGATCCATTCACATTCTGTTGAGGTTAACGTTGGGTCGAAAATCTCGGGATGGTTCAATCCCAGGAGTTCGGCAGACGATCTCAGCCAACTCACTGGCGCGTGGCCTCCACGCGAGTGACTGCTTTCTTCTCTTGTGGCGCCTCTGATTAAATGTAAAACCCTAGTCCTTTTGGCTAGGTCAGGCCCACTCAAGCTTGTCGGGTGGGCTGGGCCAGGCTTACTCGGTTAAATTGTATTATGGACCCGAATTTTGAATTATTCGAACCTGAAAAATAAAATAGACTACAAAATAAAAATAAACAAATAAAAAAATAAGTAAATAATAAATCATTTTTAAAAATATATATTATATTTCAAAAATGTTTTAAAACTATATATTATATATATTTTTGAAAATGTTTCCAAAACTATATATTATATATATTTTAAAAATGTTTTCAAAATTATATTATATATATATATTTAAAAATGTTTCCAAAACTTTATATTATATATATTTTTTCAAAAATGTTTTCAAAACTATATATTATATATATTTTTTCAAAAATGTTTTCAAAGCTATATATTTTATATATTTTCGAAAATATTTTCAAAACTATATATTATATATATATTCAAAAATGTTTTCAAAACTATATATTATATATATTTTCAAAAATATTTTCAAAACTATGTATTATATATGTTATGTATATATAAATAGAACTCCGAACTAAAATGAGTGACTACATTTGCCCCTCTTTGCCCATTATCTTGCAACAAAAATAGGGTAAAGACAAAACGGCACAAATTTTCGTTCGGTGTATATGGGCTTGGAAATAAGCCTGCTTCTCTGAGAGTTGTTGACTTCTGAGCTTGAAATACAACTTAAGGTTACCGTTGAATTTTTATCAACTATTCTCTGCTGTGGAGTTGAGATTCAAAAAATAGAAGAAGACGACTCCCTGTTGTTGGGCCATATTGCAGGTGACTCTTGAGTTGTCTCTGTGCATGATATCTTTTGTTTTGAAGTTGAAATCGTAATTCAAAATTTGAATCGGAAAGTGACTTCTTGTTGCCAAATCGTATGCAACATTGGTCTTCTTCTGAGTTTAAAGACCTCGTTGTGAAAATTTGACCGGAAAGTAGTTCCTCGCTGCTACCATGTGGTTAATAAGCCCTCGAGCTTAATGGACTCGAACTCGAAAGTTCTCGTTAACAAATAACCCTTCTCGCCTTGAGCTATGTTGTACTAGGCTAGGAGATAGCCCCCTGTTGTTGTAGATGATGCATTTGCTGTGAAATTAAGTTGATCCATTGGTTATGATATCCTTCTTCGTGAATTTGAAATCGTGGGTGACTCATTCGTTCTGAAGTTGAGTTTTTAGTTGGATATCCTTGTTGTGAAGTTAAAATCCAATTTCGAGTAAGTTGTCATAAATTTGGCTTTAAGTTGGATATCCTTCGTTGTAAAGTTGAAATCCAATCTTGTGTAAGTTGCATCGTTTCGAGTTCAATATCTTTCACTGTGAAGTTGAAATTAACTCTGACAAGAATCTGCAAAATTATGCATATATGCGATGTTATGGATGTAATGCTCTTATGTGTGTCTAAAATGCATATGTGAAATATGTTATTTTAGGATTTAGAGAAATCTCAATCTCTGGTTGTCAGTTTTGATGACTCTTGATTCTGGAACCTTGAATTTATGATTCTCGATCTTGAATTCTTTGACAAGCTTTAATCCGTCATACATTCTTGTTGAATTTGCAAAAAGAGTGTTTATTTCTAGTCTTGATTTGAACAATTCCTTTCAATGAACTAGAACCCATTATCTTGAGTATGGTGCAAAAACCTTTATCAACTTCCGAATGCTTGCATCTTTCGAAAAACCTTTGTACAGTAATACACAATTATCTTTTCAGAAGTGAATAAATCATTTAAATTCAATCTAATATGTTTATAAGGAACTAATTTTTTTAGAAAAATGATCATATTTATTTATGAGGAAAAAGAACAAAGAATACATGGCAAATATTCTGAAAAGCCAATATAAAACAAATACAAGTAGATGCCCTAGATCTTGATAATGCGGACACCTTTGAGCCGATACACCGTTAGATGACTTTTGAGTACAACTTTTATCAAGGTGACTTCCAAAATGTGACAATGCTCGGGAGAGTGCAAAGTTCCTCCAAATTGCTAAGTCTATTGAAGACTTGGATGTCGTGGAGCTTGATCTAGGACTTTTCCCTTATGCGAATCTTAGGTCACAATTTGAGCTGCCCTTTTGGGTTTTCAACTTGGATCCGTCCTTGGTTTCAAGATGCCCTTTGCGGGTTTTCATCTTGATCCCATTTTTTTCAATATTCAACTTAAGACGCTCTTTCGGGTTTTCACCCTAAGCAAAATATTTCTTGACTGCATCAGAATTAATGCGATTAAGTAGTTTCAGCCCGTCTATTTCAGTCAGGATCAGTGCTCCTCCGGAGAAAACCTTCTTTACGACATAAGGTCCTTCTCAATTTGGCATCCATTTTCCTCTATAGTCCTTTTGGATTGGCCAGACCTTTTTCAGTACAAGATCTCCTTCTCGGAATACTCTTGGGTGCACTTTCCTGTTGTGTGCTCAGATCATTCATTTTTTGTAGAGTTGACCATGATGAATTGCTTTCAACCTCTTTTCTTCTATTAAGTTCAATTAATCATATCAATTTTGCACCCATTATGCATCATCTAGTTTTACTTCTGACATAACTTAGAGTGACGGGATCTCCACCTCAATGGGTAATACTGCCTCTATCCTATATGCCAATGAAAATGGGGTTGCCCAGGTTAAAGTTCGGTAAACATACAAAGAAAAAGGTAATTTATCGTGCCAATGCTTGTACGTCTCAGTCGTTTTCTCTACTATTTTCTTGATATTTTTGTTTGTTGCTTCTACCGCTCCATTCATCTTCGGTCTATAAGCAGTAGAGTTGAGATGCTTTATATTAAATTATTCACAAGTAGCGTCCATCATCTTGTTGTTCAGGTTCATAGCATTATCGATTATGATTGTTTCGGGTAAACCATACCGATATATGATCTCTTTTTTCAAGAACTTGCAAATAGTGGACTGGGTGACACTGGCATATGACGCAGCCTCTACCCACTTGGTAAAATAGTGAATTACTACAAGAATGAATCGATGACCATTTGAAGCCTTCAAATGGGTTTGCCAGATAACATATATGCCCCACATAGAAAAGGGACACGGTGTTGTCATTACGTGCAAGGTTGATGTGAAACATTTATTTTATCCCCGTAGATTTGGCATTTATGACATCTTCTAGCATAGTTGATGCAGTCGTCTTCCAACGTGGGCCAGAAATATATGCATCTCATAATTTGCCTCGACATCATAT